TTGTAGTTTTGTGGATTGGTTACTGTGTCCTCTATTCTGTACCATTGGTCCACCCGCCTGTTTTGGTACCAGTACCATGCTGTTTTTGTTACTATTGCTCTGTAGTATAGTTTGAAGTCTGGTATCGCTATACCGCCTGATTCACACTTTTTTAAAGAGAGAGAGAGAGAGAGAGAGAGAGAGAGAGAGAGAGAGAGAGATTTATTTTTTAGTTATCGGCGGACACAACATCCTTGTTTGTATGTGGTGCTGAGGATCGAACCCGGGTCGCACGCATGCCAGGCGAGCGCGCTACCACTTGAGCCACATCCCCAGCCCCATATGACTGTTTCTTGAAGCAGGTACCTGATTTTTAAATTCCAGTACTTTCCCACTTTACCTGTTCTCTTGATTTACTTTCTTGTCTCATTACAATTTGTGAGAGGAAATGTGTATAAACTTACAGCTCTAAGTTTCCAAAAAGCTACAATGGCTGCAAAGTTTCAACTGGAAGGTTCTTTACATACAGTTAGGTGTTTTGCATTAATGAATTTTAATTACAAAGGATGTCACAGGATGAATGTAAAATTAGAAGATGCCAGGACTCTCATCTTCAGAAAGAGTCCATCCCAGATAGCTATAACAGAAAAGAACTCAGAATAAAATCTCTAGTTCTAGAAAAAACATATAGAATCCCAGCTTCACTTGAAATGCAAACGCTAAAACAAGAACATAGGTGCAGGTAGTGTGTTGGGGAGGTTTGGGAAGGGAATGGTGGGGAATATTTCTTTTTTAAATATTTTTGAGGGGGTACTGTGGATTGAACTCAGGGGCTCTCGACCACTGAGCCACATCCCCAGCCCTATTTTGTATTTTATTTAGAGACAGTCTCACTGAGTTGCTTAGTGCCTTGCTTTTGCTGAGGCTGGCTTTGAACTCGTGATCCTCATGCCTCAGCCTCCTGAGCCACTGGGATTACTTACAGGCATGCACACCATGCCCAGCAGTGGGTAATATTATGTGAAGATGAATATAAGTTCTTATATAAACTCTGCAAGGCCATCTTGAGAAGCATAGAGAATATCTGCCAAAATTGTCCACCTAAAGGACAAGAAACCAGAACGTTTGCTCACCAGCTTCCACCCTTATTGGTTGAGGATTGTGTTCAGGGGCATCAATTCCTCCCTCTCTTATAGGCTACCCCATGACTTACAAACTCTCTTAGTCCATTTTGTGTTGCCATAAAACATGCCTGAAACTGGATACCTGTTTTGTTTTGTTTTGTTTTTGGCGGGGTGGGGAGTTTGTTGAATTTTAGGGATTTTGTTGGGGGTTTGTTTGGGTTTTGTACTAGGGATTGAACCCAGAGCACTCTACCACTGAGCTGCATCCACAGTCTCTTATTTTTTAGTATGAAACAGAGTTTCACTAAATTGCCCAGGCTGGACTTGAACTTGTGAACTTGCAATTCTCCTGCCTCGGCCTCTCTAGTACTTGGAGTTACAGGTGTGCAACCACCACACCTGGCTGAAGAGAGGTTTATTTAGTTCATAATTTGAGGGACTGAAATTTCAAGATCAGGTGGTCCCATCTGCTTAGCATCTAATGAGGGCTTCTGGCTATGCCATATTATGGCAAGTGGCATCATGGCAGGAGCACGTAGGAAAGAGGGATTCGGGGTTGGTGCCAGGCTATATAACAATCTGCTGTTTGAGTATTTTTTTTTTAATATTAGGTGTAGATGGACTCAACACAATGCCTTTATTTTTATGTGGTGCTGAGGATCGAATCCAGGTCCTGCCCATGCTAGGCAAGCACTCTACTGCTGAGCCACAATCCCAGCCCCTGTTGTGAGTTTTGATCTAATCCTACAAGAGCTAGAATTCCCACAAGACAGCAATACCCATCTTAAAGACCTAATCACCTCTCTTACAGTCATCACCATCTTAATACCTTCCTGGGGAATTAGGCTCAACATTGAGTGCTGGTGGGAACAAATCACCGTGCAAGCCAAGAAGTTTCCTTGGTTTTAGTAAGGTTCTCAGGCTAAAGCAGGAAGATGAAGACAAGCACTTGAAGTAGGATGTTGTCAGTCCAAGTTGGTGTGGGAGCCCAGCATTGTGGCACACACCTATAATCCCAGCCTCAAGAGGCTGAAGCAGGAGGATCACAAATTCTAGGCCAGCCCTGGAGATTTAGCAAGACCCTGTCTCTCTTCCTAAATGGCAGTCCCAGGAAGAGCCTTATCTGCCTATCCACATGTCCAGCACAGTTTTGTTTCCATCATCAGGTCAAAAGCCCTCAGTGTCTGACATCAGCATAACTGAATTACACCCCCAGCCTGGTAGGTTTTTTGTTGTTGTTGTTGTTGTTGTTGTTGTTTTTCAGTTTGATAAGGTTGGTAGTAAGGTCCCCACTTTCACTTATGATTTTTGTTATTTTCACCTTTTCTATTTTACTCTGTCTAGCTCAAGTTTTGTCAGTTTYRTTAATTTTTTTTCAAAGAACCAACTATTAGCCTGGAACAGTAGTGCATGCCTGTAATCCCAGTGACTTGGGAAGGCTGAGGCRGGAGAATCTCAAGTTAAAGGCCAGCCTCAGCAATTTAACAAGGCCCTAAGCAATTTAGTGAGACCCTGCCTCAMAATGTAAAATGGATGTGGGATGTACTCAGTTGTGAAGCATCTCTGGGTTCAATCCCCAAGACCAAAACAAAAACAAAGAGTCAACTTTTGGTTCTGTAGATTATTTTGACCTTAGTCTTTACTATCTCCTTTCTGCTAGCTTTGAGTTTGGTTTGCTCTTTCTTCCTGTCCCTTAAAGTGTAGAGTTGGGTATTGAGATTCTTTCTTCTTTTTTTCACTCTAGGCATTTACAGCTGGAAAYTTACCTATGAACCTTGCTTTTGCTTCATCTCATAAGTACTGGAAATTCTAAAAATATTTTCTAATTTCCCTTGTGACTTCTTTGATCCACTGGCTGTTTCAGAGTGTTTCTTAAGTTCCGTATGCTTGTGAATGTTCCTGCTTCCCTTCTGTTATTGATATCAAACTTCATTCCATTATTGTTGAGGGACATAATTTATACGATATCAATCTCTAAATTTATTGAGCAAGAGCTGGGGATATAGCAGAGTGGTAAGAGTACTTGCCAAGGATGGGTGAGGCCCTGGGTTCAATCCTTGGTACCACAAATAAATAACTAAATTTATTGAGCAAGATGTATTTTCACTTCCTTGAGAAAATTTTCTCCTTAACTCATGGATTATTTAGAAATATATTATTTGATATGTGGTTTGCAAACATTTTCCCCAGTCTATAACTTGTGTTTTCATCCTCCTAACAGGATCTTTGCAGAGCAAGTTTTAAATTTTGATCAAGTCTGACATATCATTTTTTTAATTTTATGGATAAAGTTTTGTGTGTGGGGAGGAGGTACTGGGGATTGAACTCAGGGTCTTGCACATGCTAGGTAAGTGTTCTACCACTCTGCTAAATCCCCAGTCCTGGGTAATGCTTT